GCTCCTGAGAGTACGACAAGCATAAACTCCATCCCGACCTTACCCCCACTCACCGAATTTCGAAGCGAAGTCTATGGGCCTCGCTGCACTATGCTAGAGTCTGCGGCTAGACACATGAAAATTTTCAAGAGTTCGTCTAGCGCTGTCATTCTCCTGGATTGGCATCAAGTGCTGTCGTCGCTGCGCTTATTCCGGACACTCGACTCTCGTGAGCATTCTTGACTGTCCAAAAGACAGTACACGACAGGGCAGCGACGATTTGCCCACCGAGGCCGAAGGCCAAGGGCCTAGTTGCACTACTCGCCATCCGTCATGAAATGGAGAGTAAAAAATATGAGAATCGTGTCGAACTCGAGGCTTGGTTGCACTTACTCGCCACTATATTTCTTCTACAGAAAAGTTAAAAAAATAGTCTACCTGATGTCGACTGGTGCAGCCCTGCACTCTCCAGAAAGTTGTTTTGCGGAGAGGTCCGAGGACCACCTTCCACAAACCGCTGTGCACAGGCGGGGAAACCCAATTCACTCTCCACAACTTGTGTGGACGGTGTGGCGAGCCGTCTGACACATTTTGCATTAAGTGCAGGCGCCTACTCGCCAAACTTGGCTTATGGCGAGTAGTGCAACTAGGCCCCAACTCGCGAATTTGCAAACCGATTGAAGGGACCCGTCGGGCTCTTTTGAAAAAAACACTCCTGCAGGCGGGAACTGTGGAAACTTCAAGAGTTCATCCGATGGGCCATTTCTGACACCTCTTGAAGTGCAGGACCAAGAGCAGTTTTCCACAGTTAGTGCAGCGATGACTCACTCTCGAGGTTTTCGAGAGTGAATCTGACATCTCTTGAATAGAAATCCAGGGCGCGGTGTCAAGAGTTAGTGCAGCGTTGATGAACTCTTGATTTTTCAAGATCCAAGAGTAGTGCAGCAAGGCCCAATGGCGCAGCCGAGGACTGTCGAAAGCATCGGAGTTTTCTGAAGAAAAGAAAAAGAAAGCGTCGGATTAGTAGTAGCAGGAGGCTGGGTGGGGATTCCACAACTTCGGAGTAGCAGTAGCAGGAGGCTAGGAGGAGGTGTAGAGAAGTGTCTGCTTCCAGTCGGGTTGTTTGACAAAAAAAAAAAAAAGAGAAGCATTCTCTGACCCAAGAGCCTAGCTCAGTGGGTACACCCATGAACTGTTAAAAATGCAGACCTGTGTTCGAATCCAGATGTTGGAACTTGACGCTATTTCTGAATTACCTGGGGCCGGTCAGCTTAATAATGAGATGATATCTCAAGGCCGTCGCCCTTTTTTTAAGAAAAAGGAGTAAGAAAAGAAAAAGAAAAAAGAGAAGCATTCTCTGACAACGTACTCGCAAATTTTCTTCCCGTCTCCAACTTCGACAGCCTGTGTGGCCAAGGCCCTAGTTGCACTAGTCTCCATCCGCCAAGATTTCGAATGCATCTGGACAAAATGGTGTCCACATGCAATCAAAATGTTGGCAGTTGGCCAA